ACGGGCCACGCGCAGGAGGCCGGGAGCCCCCAATGGGGACCCCCAGAGCGGGGAGTTTGAAGATACCTGCAGCCGCGGGCTGCCGCCAGACCCGGACCCTATGACGGAGAACGGACTCCTCCCGCGCCGAGCGGCCGAACCGGTAGGCCACGGGGACCCCACGGGCAGGGCAACGGGGTTCGTAGGGGGGAGGAAGCAGCCCGGGGCAGGGCCCTTTTGGCGTCTGTGGGTGGACGCGTTTCGGGAAGGCATTCCACGTCCACCGCACAGGGAGCAAGTAGACCCCTGTGCTGGGACCTGGTGGAGAGTGTGGGCCCGGATCCTTCTCGCCCATCCCGCCATCGTCGGGGGTGAAAGTTGCTCCAACACCGGTGAGCAGGAACCTACAGTGGAGACTGCGGGAAGAAGCCTGACACAAGGGGACAGGCGACCCTTGGTTTCGCAGATCCCTCGGACTTGGCCGAGTGGGGTGATCACGCCCAAAGACACCAGTCCAAACTAAAACTCTGGGACCAACAGGCCGGAGGCCGTCGACGGGGTTCGCCGAACCCCCCTCCTGGGCATGAGGGGGTGATCGCGCCCCCGAGGTGGTCACAATGCAAAATAAATTTTTGGCCAGGTGATGACTTCTGTGGCACTTTGTTGTCTTCTTGTGGTTGCAGGAAGATTATTCAGAATACTGCTGAGGGCTGGCGCTTTGTGTAATGGTTCATCTACACTAGCTCGTTAGTTTGAGCTAGGTAGGGCAATGAGGGCAAACAGAGTTGCAAATGATGCCCGGGATTTAAATAGACGTACTCTAATTCTCCATCCTGAGATTGTGACCCTGCTCGGCACTCACACCATGAGTTCACAGGGACACATCTGAGGCCCACAAGATCAGAAAGGAGAGCCAAGGCACAGCTGGACTGTGCAAGTTCAGCTGGACTGTGCATGCACAGCGGGCATCGTGTGCCTTTCACGCTGTTTCTGAGTCTGCATGCGATCTAGCTCCCGCCAGTTCCGCCTAACCATTCATAGTCTCAGGCAGAGCAAACTGCTTCTCCTCAAGCCTGAGAGAAAAAGTGTAAAACTAGTTGGAAAGTTAGTTGTTAGTCATAGTTTAGTCAGTAGTTTATAGTTATACTTCTAATTCATTCATTAGTTAAATTTTTTTTCTCTATCTTGTTGTTCAAAGTTCTAGTTATTAGTTAAATAGTGTTAGTTAGACAATTCATTGAAAATGCCGAGGTCTCCCGGTGTCAAAAAATGTGCAACATGTCACAACCTGATGCCCACATCGGATGGACATACGAGCTGCATAAAATGCTTGGGTGAGGGCCACATCCTTCAGAAATGCCTGCATTGTTCAAAGCTGATGGCACGGACACGGAGTCTTACAGATCCCCAGGGTCCCCAGAGAGAGCAAAAGCTCGTGCGGACCCACCAGAGGCAAGGAAAAAATCATTGCCCTACCACTCATCCTCAAAGCACATAAGTGTGGGCGATAGGCCGGGGACATCGGCAATAGCCCTCAGCAATCATGCTGAAAGGTATAAGAGGAGTTGAAATACATTGGTGCCGAGTCCAGCCCTTCATAGGGAACTGGCACCGGCAGTTTCCGCAGTGCCGAGAGCTGACTTGGCAACAAAGTCGGTGCCAAGAAAACAAATGCCTACAATGGCACCAGCTAAGGCGGCACTGATGGCATCGGCAACACATATAAGACCGATGCTGACCATGGCATGGGCACTGATGGCACCATCAAGGAGACTGGCACTGAGTCCACTGGCACCAGGCTTGGTAACACCGCCCATGGTGCCAACAGCAATCCCGCCATTGACAACTACAAGCTTGGCACTGAGTGCAATGGCACCACCTATGAAAGTGGCACTGAGCCCAACAGCACTGAGCCGACCCTTCACAGCTGCGGTACCATGAACATCGGTGCCAGCTCAAGCAGCCCCTGCAGTATCGGTACAAGACGTACCAGCATATTGCTGACAGGCCTCTCCGGCACCGGAGAAAACTAGACGTAAGTCTAGGAGAGTGATCATGTCCACTCCTAGCCCAGAACCAGCTTTTTTTTTTCTGGAGCCTCAGTCTCTGGCTTTTGCATTTTCTGTGCCATCATAGCACAAGAGTCGCGCCCTTTCAACTATCCAACATCACAACTAATCTCCACAATATTCACCCGTCACCTCAGCGATACCACTGACGGACACGTTCTCCAACATATTCACGAGGCAGATCTTGTTCACCCAGGTCACCTACATGAATGTCTTACTCCAGGTATCATCACATGACCAAGACGAGGTACTCCCCTGACTATTCTCCAAGGAGATATTATTACGATTGTTACCACAGGCATCGTTACTATCATTATCGACACCGTTATTCGTTGAAGCACTCCTGCTCGAGGTCTCCTCAGTACCATCACTGACATCATTCACATAGTAGTACTAGACTACCAACACCTCTGGAAGCACCCACAAGGCCACCTACCCCATCAGGAGACGTACTTTCAACAGCACGTCAACCTGAGGCAAAGGAGATGCGCTCCTTTTCCGGAAAAACTGAAAAAGGAATAGTATTCCGTTTTAAGCATTTCCGGAAATTCATGCCAGTGTAGACACAGCCAAGGGGAGGGAGGGATAGGGAATCGGCTCTTGGCTCAGCAGTTTTGTGGGGCTTGGAGGAGGTGCAGGGAAACGGGGATCAGCAGTGCTGTGGGGGGAGGCATGCAGTGAACCAGTGGAGGGCTCAGCTGGGCTGAGGTGGATGGGGAAGGGCATACAGAACAGACGGGCAGCTCAGCTGGGCTGTGAGGGGCTGCAGGGAACTGGTGCTGCACTCCCTTGGATTGTGAGGGATGGTTTTGGGGGAAGTGCAGGGAACCAGCAGGGGTGGGCAACTTAGTTCGGTTGCAGGGGATAGAGGTGCAAAGAAGCCTAGTGGGGAAGAAGGGGGGACACCAGGAGCCCTGAAATGACCTCCCCTGGTCCAAAAATTCCTCATCTGGGACCAGTCAGGTCTAGAGGGTGCCAGATCGGGGGGTCCAACTCCTACCCAAGTCCCCTCCTCGCACCCTCCCTCGTAGCCAGACACCCTACATCCAGCCTGCTTCTGCACCCTACCTATCTGGTCTGCACCCTACCCAGACCTTGTCCCCTTCCGCCCCCCAGATCCCTCCCAGATCCTGCACCCCATCCCTATCCCGCTC